CAGATTTAGAATAAACACAGTTGCTTTGCTGTGTCCTGGTTACTACTGCTCGGGCTTGACTGAGAGCCCTGTCTACCCTGCCAAGGCAAACCATGAGCTAAGACAATTATCTACAAATATTTGAGGCAGTAAGTTTGCAGCCTGAATTGTCCCCCTGACAGCCCACACCTCTCCTACTGAAGTTTCCCAATAGAACTGGTAAAGCCAGGTAAAGAGAATTCTCACAATTTCCCCAATTCCCATGTAGGGAAAGAACACCCAGCATGTGTTGGGAGAGGGTGATGGAGTATTGACTGTACACTGCAATATAGTGAGAGGAGAGCTGCTATGGTTGATACTTTTGTTTCATAACATTCAACAAATACTGACTGCTTATCATAAACTGACCTCAGAAAAGTTGACCTGCTCTCTACAAAGCCATTCATTCATTCACTCAGAAAATATTAACTGAGCTCCGACATGTGCCAGCGTCATTGGGCATGAGTATTCAGGTCTCCTTCAGGAATCTTGCCTTAGAGTTTTCTCAGGCCCACCATAAGATATAGAGTGTGACTTGCTTCCTATTTGGCTATGCTTTTCAATTATCACCCACTTACCAGGGTTTGTTATTCTCAAGACTTCAGCAAAGTTTTCCATTCTGAGCAGGCCTCGTTCTCAGAAAAGTCTTAGTAGCTTCCCAAATTCACTTGCTCCCCACTCCTCCACTTCCACCTTCTCTGAACCTCCTTGAAAGTCCTAGCACCACTTGATTCAAGTTCTGATGGTTCTGACCTCTCCACCTTCTCCTCCAGCACTTCTTTCTGCTCAGAATGGAGTGCTGATCAGGAGAAATCTTAGGAATTTTGAAGATGTCCCCCGTTCCAGTCCAAACTAGGCTTCCCTAAAGCTTTCTTATCTTCTTTCATTGCTACGCCCTTTAAGGGCTCACTGACTCTTAAGATTTCAATAGTAACCTCTAGAGACGTCATCAAAATTCAATAATGCAGACCTTCATTGACTCATACTAAATGACAGCCTCTTAGCTGGCCCCCTCGTTCCAGTCTCTTCCCACTCTAATAATATCCTTTGTACACCTTGCCATACATACCTTCCTAAACATTTATTAAATGCTCACTCTGAGCCAGGCACTGGTCTAGGAATCAAAGACAACAGCTACAGTAATGCAAAGTGATTAAGGAGACATCTTTGAAGAGGGGCAGCCACTTATTAGAAAGAATTGCTTAATCTTTTTGCATCTTGGTTTTCTCATATGAAAAATGGGGATAATAAGAGCATGTAGCTCTCAGGGTTATTGAGAGACTTAAATGAAATAATGCATGGAAAGCACTTAACACAGTGTCTTGCACATAGCAAGCACCAATAAAAGCTTACATAAAACAACCTCCTCAAAGGGAGCTGCCAGGTTAGCAGTAGAGATGAACAGGTATATTCCATAAGTAAGGGGTGGGAGAAAAAACAGACCTTGGGGGTGTCTGAGCAGAGAAGACAGAATGATGAATTTTGGTAGTGATATGAAGCTTGGGGGGTTAAAATGGGATATTTGGAGAGGATGGGAAAGGTTTTCCAGCTGGGAACATCTGGGCAAAGACACAACAGCACAGAAGGGAGAGCGTTTGTGTCATCCAGCAATGACCGTCTGTTGCCCTGTGCTAATCCTGACAAGGCCACAAGCTCCTTCAGGAGAGGCACACCGGCTTTGACTAGGGGAGAATCATCCGTTCTATAATATAGAATCACGGACCTGTACTATACCTGGCACTGTGCTAGATGAAAATACTGTGTGCCTGGTCCCTGCCCTCATGAAATTCTATTTGAAAATAAATAAGAAATCAAAACAAGAACCCTTCGGATGCATTATATGTGCTTTAAGAAAACAAAAGAGTATCGTATGAAAGGGAGTGACTGTGGTTAAAGGTCAAGGAAAGACACTCTTGGGAGGTCACACTTGAGTCCTGAGAAGGCTGAGGTAGAAAAATGTCCTGGCAGAGGGAACAGCAAGAACGAAGATCCTGAAGCATGAAGGAGTGGGCCACATCAAAGAAACAGAAAGCCAGTGCAGGGATACATAGACAGAGAGGGGGAGAGAGGCCGTCAGAGAGGGTGGTCATGGCCTTGATCATGTTAAAGCTTGACAAGCAGTTTGGATTTTATTCTAAAATGAACTGGAAAGTCACTAAATGGTTTCAAGATAGATATGACATAATCTGATTTGTGTTTTTAAAAGCTCCCTCTACTGCCAGGGTTGAAGTAGAATGGCAAGAGAGAAGGCAGAGGGATCATGAGAGGCTATGCAACAGTCCAAACCAGAGAAAACAACACAGACTTATGATATTTAGATGTGATGTCTGGAATCTCTGTTTGGAGAAGTTATACAATCTCTTCAATTTGCAAGGTCTATCTCCCTTCCACACAGCCTTCTTGGGAGGATTAACTGGTAATTTTCAGTTGGTTGATTGTGTCTCCCACAAGTCAGCCCATTTACTTTCCTCCTTCCACACTCATTTCTTTTCCTCACTATATCCACATTCCCATTTGTCTATCACCTGACTCAGCCTTCATGAGGTCCTACTGTTCCTACTCTATTTATTTTCTTCTCCTCATCCTACCACTCATGAAAGTTTCATGAACTAGATGTAAAGGAGGTAATTATTTTCTATCTTATCCCAGAAGCACTCAGGAATTATCTATTTCACAGAACACTAACAGAAGGTTAGGGGTTATTATGACCTTGACAGTATAACCTGTACACATTCTGCACATTAAGGACACTGTCTCCTCACATTCATTCCAGCCTGTTCTCCCACTGCAGCCAGAGAAATCTTTTTTTTAATGTTTTTATTGATTTTTTTAGAGAGAGAGGAAGGTTGAGGGATAGAGAAATAGAAACATCAATGAGAGAGAAACTTCGATTGGCTGCCTCCTATACACGCCCTACTGGGGACTGAGCCCACTACCCAGGCATGTGCCCTGACCAGGAATTAAACCAGTGACCTCTTGGTTCCTGGGTCAACACTGAGCCATACCAGCCGGGCAAGAGAAATCTTTTTAATAGGAAAATCTAATCTCTCATTGGCTCTCGCTCTCTCGCTCTCTCTCTCTCTCTCTCTCTCTCTCCCTCTCTTCTTCTCTCCCTCTCTCTTCTTTTGCTCTCTAGAGTGTCTTCCTCTTGTTCCTCAGAGAAATGCCAACTTCCTCAGCATGGGCTACCAAGGTCCTGAATATTATGACACCAGAGTATATCTCACACCATTCCCCTCATTTACTCTCTGTGGCTCTAGCCACACAGGCCCTCTTTCAGGTCTTGTAGCCAGATGTACCCCCTTCTGCCCCAGGACTTTTGCATATAGTGTTCTTTGTGTCCCCAAGGCCCTTCGAGCTCCCTTATTCTTTGGATCTTTGTCCATATTTTGTCTATCTTTCTTTCAAAGAACTTACCACAGTTTATAATAACACATTTACTTGTGATTATCCCCCCAAAACACACACACACACACACACACACACACACACACACACACACACTAGATGAGAAGCTCCTGAGAGCAAAACCATTGCCTATTTTTGTTCATCATTGTATTCCAAATGTAAGTGAATAAATACACTTAATAGGCCTTAACAGATTAGATAAGGATTTTCTAAAACCTGAGATAAGGTTCCTTTTTGATGGAGCAAACAAAGAAGGAATTACAGATCTTCTAGTAGCAAACTACTACAGGGAGGAGAATCTGTATCTGATACCCATTTTGCTGCAAACTCCGAGCGTTTTCCCTGACCCCTTACAGAAACCATCCCTGATGTCAACGTGGCGCCTGTTTCCAAGACCCATCATCCTTCCCAGGAAGGTCCATCATTCTCTTCACCGCCTCCCACTTCACACTAGACCAGTGGTTCTCAACCTGTGGGTCGCGACCCCTTTGGGGGTCGAACGACCCTTTCACAGGGGTCGCCTAAGACCATCGGAAAACACATATATAATTACATATTGTTTTTGTGATTAATCACTGTGCTTTAATTATGTCCAAATTGTAACAATGAAATTGGGGGTCACCACAACATGAGGAACTGTATTAAAGGGTCGCGGCATTAGGAAGGTTGAGAACCACTGGACTAGACCCTCTCTTCAATCAGCCCCTCTCTCCAGGGCAGTAGCTATGCCCCCTGATGGCACAGGAAGGGGGTGGTGATAGTAGAGAGTTGAGTAAGGTAGCACTCACTTACTGCTTGTCGCACAATAAACATTTCACAAAGCCCTTTCACAAACAGCACCTCGCTCTGCCCTCAAACCAAAGCAGACACTGTCATTCCCATCTTACTAGATGGGGAGCTGAGGTCAAAGGAGGCAAGTGACTCGCTCAAGGTCGCCAAGCCTGGATGAGATTTGAACCTCCGGACTCTGACACACAGTCAGTCGGGTGCTTTTCCTTACATTCGCCACCCCAACAGCTGCGTTACCAGTACTTACACCTGGTTTCCTCATCCCCTTAAATGAACACTGCTCCCGACTCCTCACTGCCCCAGCCCATTTCCGCTCCCCGCCCAGAACTTGCCAGATGCCTGCGCAATTGGGGGGGGGGGGGTCAGAGAGCGGGGCTCACTACCAGGGTTGGGCCCCCGCCCCCGGTCTTTCCGGCGCTTCCTGAAACCCCTCGAAATGGCACAATGAGGAGACCCGCTTCACCAAAGAATGGCCCCTGGCTACTCTCTCCCACGTTCCTGCTCGACGCGGCGAGGCCAGGACAACAGGGAGCACCCCGGGAGGCCAGAGGTCCCCGCCGGCGCACACGGGATGCGGCGGTGACCCGCCAGCTCCCGGACTCGGCCAAGGTCACCCCCTCGCAGCCCCCGCCGGCTCCCAGCCTCCCGGAGCGCCCCCTGGTGTCCCGGGACGGCCTCCCCTCGCCCTCAGGGAGTGGCCTGGGCGTCCAGCTGGGGGGCAGGGGCGGGAAGGTGGACAGGGGTGAGGAGGCTGAGCCCGGGGAGGGGCGGGAGGCGGGCCCTACCTGATAGCGGAGGACGCCGTCGGGCTCGTTACTCCCGGCGCGCATGGCGGAGCCGAGCACGGTCCCGCCCGCGGGCTCCAGGCCGAGCGTCAGCGGCGCGCACACTCCGGTCGGGTCTGAGCGAAGCGCCCCAACCGCGACCCCGACTCTGGAGCCAACGGTCAACCATCGACCTCCTCCGCCTCCGTGGCCACCGGCCCGCGAGGCATCGCCGCGGCCAATCAGCGCGCGGCCTGTGCAGCCAATCAGCGCGCGGAGCACGGGAGGACGCCGGCCGGCGGTACCCAGGGCTACCGCGAGGAGGGGGGCAGCCCGAGGAGCCCAGGTTGCCGTGGAAACCGCCTCCCTCCCTTCAGGGGCCCCTGGGCTTGAAGGTCCTTCCAACTGCTTGATGGAAACTGAAAATCTCATGCTTCTATTTGCAGCTGCCCCTCACCGTGGGAAAGTGAGAAAGTGTTGATTCTCTCTCTTCTGATTTTATTCTTTGGATGATTTTTAAATTCTGGGGAAACGTCCCTTGGGGATTGCAGAAGGAAGTAATTGAGGATGAGGGAAAAGGATGAGAATACTTGTTAATCTCTGAGCTAGTGGCCAGATTAAAAAGCATTAAAGCTAAGCAGACTGGCGGTGATCCTGTCCCCTCTACAGACTCGCTATGACTTAGGTCTCCTCCCCGGGTCTCAGGTTGGCAGCAAAAAGCACAGGGTTGAACTGAAGATGGTTGCTGAAGTCATAACACAAAAATGCTTCCAACTTTTCCAAGAAGGCAAATTATTATTTAATAACGAGAACTATTGATTTAAGGCAACGTTGGAAAAGCATGAGTAACACATTCCATTTGATAAAGGTTTTAAAGAAAAGAGAGGCTGGCCATCATCCAACCAGTCCTCTGTCCCCAAGCGGAGGGAAGGAGCCTTTCCCTTTGTATGTACTATTGCATCAGGCTGTGGGCGAGTCAGAACAAAAAGAACTGTTGTAAATCATTCTCCAGTCTCCACAGAAGCTACCCCTGAAGATAACTAGTCAGGGACATGTTAAAATTTCAACCCTGCATACCACCCCTTGCACTGTCCCTGAAATGTGAAACAAGGTTGTGCTTCAGTGTAACTGAGGCAGAACCATATTTCTAATCTTTATAAGCTCCTGGTCCTGTTTCTGAGTCTTAGCATTCATTGCCACAGGCTCTATCATTCTCTGCACTAAAGATGTCCCTTGACTCTGGCATTCAGCCCCCATCATTTCCCATCAAATTCTTTTTTAAAAAATATATATTTTATTGATTTTTTACAGAGAGGAAGGGAGAGGGATAGAGAGTTAGAACATCGATGAGAGAGAAACATCGATCAGCTGCCTCCTGCACACCCCCCACTGGGGATATGCCTGCAACCAAGGTACATGCCCTTGACCGGAATCGAACCTGGGACCCTTGAGTCCGCAGGCTGATGCTCTATCCACTGAGCCAAACCGGTTAGGGCTCCCATCAAATTCTTAACCTTTCTTCAAAGTCAATATATTTTAATTGAATATTGGGGTGACATTGGTTAATAAAATTATATAGTTTCAGGTGTACAATTCTATAACACATCATCTATATATTATATGATGTGTTCACCACCCCAAGTCAAGTCTCCTTCCATCACCATTTATCACCCCATACCCTTCTCTACCTAGCCCCACCACTCCTTCCATCTGGCAGTCACCATGCTGTTATCTGTTTCTACGAGTTTTGGGGGTTTTTTTTGCTTAATCCTTTCACCTTTTTTACCCAGCCTCAAACTCCATCCCCTCTGACAGCTATCAGTCTATTCTTTATTAGTCTGTTTCTATTGTGTTTGCTAGTTTATTTTGTTCCTTAGATTCTACATATGAGTGAAATAACCTGGTACTTGTCTTTCTCTGACTGGCTTATTTCACTTAACATAATGCTCTCTAGGTCCATCTATGCTGTCGCGAAGAGTAAGATTTCATTCCTTTTTTATGGCTGTGTAGTATTCCATTGCGTAAATGTACCACAGCTTTTTTATCTACTGATCTGCTGGTTATCTATATATATAAAACCAAGCAACCGCAAGGCCGGAATGACTGGAACGACTGGAACAGCTGGTTGCTTTGACATGCACTGTGGCCCCAACCACCCGAGGCCACTCCCCCTGGCTGGCCAACCTCCTGTGTCCCCTCCACCCAGCCAGCCCAGCCCCGATTGGCCCCAATCGGGGTGGGCCAGCCAGACCCCACCTGTGCATGAATTCGTGCACCAGGCTTCTAGTTGTAAATAACGCTGCAATGAACAGATGGGTGCATATACTCTTTCAAATTAGTGTTTCAGGTTTCTTCAGATATATTGCCAGAAGTGGAATTGCTGTATCAGAGGGCAGGTCCATTCTTTTTTTATTTTTTAAATATATTTTTATTGATTTCAGAGAGGAAGGGCGAGGGAGAGAGAGAGAGAGAGAGAGAGAGAGAGAAACATCAATGATGAGATAGAATCATTGATTGGCTGCCTCCTGCACGCCCCCTACTGGGGATTGAGTCTGCAACCTGGGCATGTGCCCTTGACAAGAATCAAACCTGGGACCCTTCAGTCTGCAGGCTGACGCCCTATCCACTGGGCCAAACAAGCTAGGGCGGCAGGTCCATTCTTAATTTTTTTTTAGGAATCACCACACTGTTTCCCACAGTGGCTGTACCAACAGTACAACAGGGTTCCCTTTTCTCCACATCCTCACCGGAGGCAACATATCAGAAAAAAATATTGCTATAAGAAATGTCCGAGATTTTACTGCCTATGTTTTCTTCTAGGATTTTTATAGTTTCAAGTCTAACATTTAAGTCTTTAATCCATTTTGAGTTTATTCTTTAGTTTGGTATAAGGAGGTGGTCTAGTTTAGGGTTTTTTTGCATTTATCTGTCCAATTTTCCCACCACTATTTACTGAATAGACTATCTTCACCCCATTAATGTTCTTGTCTCCTTTGTCAAATATTACTTGGCCATAAAGGCATAGGCTTATTTCTAGGCTCTCTGTTCTGTTCTATTGATCTATGTCTCAAAGTCAATCCCAAAGGCCACTCTTCCAAGAAGCTTTCTCATAGCAGATGCTGTGATTATTTCATTACACTGTATGTTGACTTTAACTTACTGTAATATTGTACATGTTTGAAGGCAATGGTTATTTTTCTTATGCCCTTCTGTATACTTCACAGAGCTTCAAAGAATGCTGGCCACATAGAAAGTAGTTAGCAAATAGAACACCTACTATGTACAGGCCCCAATGGCATAGAAGATGCAGAGAAATCTAAAATAAAATACAGCCCAGTCAGCATGGCTCAGTGGTTGAGCATTGACCTAGGAACCAGGAGGTCACAGTTCCATTCCAGGTCAGGGCACAAGCCTGGGTTGCTGGCTCAATTCCCAGTAGGGGGCGTGCAGGGGACAGCCGATCAATGATTCTCTGTCATCAATGTTTCTATCTCTCTACCCCTCTCCCTTCCTCTGTCTCTAAAAATCAATAAAAACAGCCCTAGCTGGTTTTGCTCAGTGGATAGAGCATCGGCTTGTAGACTGAAGGATCCTGGGTTTGATTCTAGTCAAGGGCACATGCCTGGGTTGCGGGCTCCATCCCCAGTAGGGGGCGTGCAGGAGGCAGCCAATCAATGATTCTCTCTCATCATAGATGTTTCTATCTCTCTCTTTCTCTCCCTTCCTCTCTGAAATCAATTAAAAAATATTTTTAAAAATCAATAAAAACATATTTAAAAAGTAAAAAATATGTAACATAATACATATCTCCAAGGGGCTTACAATTTAATCAGGGAAACAGGATTTACTGTATGTTAATATAATGACAAGCTAGTTGAACATAGAATAAGAACCCTATGAGTAATATAAACAACAAAGATTGTAAAAATTCAAAAGAGAAATGATCTTTATGACTTGGGGGCACTTTAGGAACATGATACAGAGAATATGGATTTTATCTGAAAATAGTTGCGCCAAGGTAAGGAGAGTAAGCATCTTAACTCTTAGGCAAAGACTTAAGAATGCACGTGGCCCATTCAGGGTAACAATGATTTGGACCAAAGGTAAAAGTTATAAAGAGGAGCAGTAGGAAGTAAAAAAATGTGGTAAAGAAAAGCTGTGGCCAAATTTTGGAGAGTCGGCTAATTAGTTCTGCTTTTATTTTTCTCACATGATAGAAAGTAAAACACTGTGGTCTTAGAGGGCACCTCCATGCATCAAGACCCGGTCTAATAGTATAAATACATTGTGTCATTTCATATTCATAACATCATTATTTCTCCATTTCACTGGTAAGAAAATTGAGACTCAGAGAAGTTTAGCAGCTTTCTCAGAGCTAAGCAGTCTTTAAGGTGGTATTCAGTCATTTATTAATTCCAAACATATTTACTAAGAATCTATGTATTCAGCCCTGTGTTGGGTGTTGGGGAAACAGCAATAAGACAAAAACAGGGTCTTGCCCTCTTGAGCCTTACAATCTAGTGGGGAGAGAGCGAACAAGATAATTACAGGTTGTGGTCACTTCAGTGAAGTAAATAACAGGTCATAATATAGAGAGTAACTGACATGGGGTTGGGGAGAGCTACTTTATTTTATTTTTATTTTTTTCTTTATTGATTAAGGTATTACATATGTGTCCTTATCCCCCCATTGCCCTCCTACCCCCCCCCAAGGGGAGAGTTACTTTAAGTGGAGTGTTCAGGGAGGGCTTCTCTGAAGAGGTGAGGAGAGCTTCTTCTGGTGAGATGAGTCAAGGACAGGTCTGTCTGATTCCACTATGCAACATATCCCATATAAGTGGTACCATTGCCAAAATCTGCCATTAGGGGCAAGGCAGTTAGAGGAGGAAAACGGGGGGGGGGGGGGGGGGGTCAGTTAGACTAGCTCTTGCAACATGGTAATTCAAGAGGGGCCAAGGATGGTGACCAAAGGAAAAATATGCCCACATTTTCCTCTCCCCAGAAAGACAGCTCCCAGCCATGGGAGTGGGCTTGAGTGGGCAGAGTAAAGAGAGGACTGAGGCAGTAAGTAGAGGATTCCCTGGAGCTCCGATGGGTCTGATTTCCCTCCAGTTCAATCATGGAACAAGTCAGAGCCCCTGGCCCTTGACTCCAGAGTCAAGAGCCC